AAGTCTGAATGATTTTAAAAATATAAACAATTTAATTGGCAGAGACCAAGCATGGAAAATTCCAGGTCAAAGTTGAATTTATGAATGAGTGTAAAGAGTCAATTGTCAGATATTACATAGTGCAATATACACCCCCCCCCACACACACACATATCACAGATATATATGTACTACATATATAAATGTGTGCTTTCTGTATGTATGGTATATATTTACACACTGACCACAACATTCAGATTCCATTGTGTGTTTAAAAGTGATACGGCTTAATGCTCTTGAAAGATTTTGCCCATTCTTTTAATTTAAAGAATTGCAAATAAATAATTTAATTTGTTCATACTTTCTTTACATCTTATCCTATTATATTTGGCCTTTTAAAAAGTTATTTTGTTATCTATGATAACACCTAGTGATGAAGACAGAACTGATGAACTCCAGACTCCGTGTAGTTGAATTCAAATGCCTAATCACTTATTCTACCATTTGTTTCAGAAGATTTTTTGCAAATAAAAAACTTATGGGACATTTTTGCTTGCATCCAAGATCAAATTTCAACAGGTAGAAAAGTGCTCACTCATCTAAACTTCAGCATAGAGTTATAGTCCATCTAGCTTCCAACATGCTTGTACGTGAAGTGATATTCTTAAGAGCTGAGAGTGTCTAACAGAAAAACAATCAAGGAATGAAAAATACACTGACCCGAAGTCCAAAACTTCCTGTAGTCAGTCCCGGACCAATATTTAAAAAAAAAAAAAGGCATTTTTAATCTGGTATCATAAACTATCAGAAGTGAGTTGAATGCTATATGCTGTTGGCAAGCAGTGATTCTCAACTGTAAAATAGTATACTAGCTTGGTGTTTGCCCTGGCATGCTGTGTAATATTGTATTGTGCAACTACTTTGTTCTCACTGCTATTCTGTTTTCTTCCCCCCCTCCCCCCCACTTGAGTTCTAGCATATTAATGACTGCTTTCTAGGCAGTTACTAGAACTAGAGGCTCAAGCTGCTTCTTTATCTGTCAGCTTGTTTGGAATACAGCATTCAAATGACATAAAATATTAGGTAGGGCCAGTTCTTAAAAAAGCTGGAGTTTAGTGCTCACTTGTGCACCTATTTTTGTATTCAGACTTCTACAAATAGTGTATGTGGCACAAGTGGTGCTAAAACACCCACTTTTATGCAGTTTGTGTATACATACAAAATGTGTGGGGGAGTAGGTGGGTATATGTGTAAAAATATGTATCTGTGGGTGCATATATGTATAAGGAATACATTTTAAATTGGGACCTTGATCTTTTTCATAGAGTTGTGATATACTGGTTGTTTGTAACAGGATTCAAGGTAGGAGAGGAAAAGGTGAAGCAAAATTGTACTAAGAATGACCTGCCAGGGTTAGAAAGAGTTTGACAGACAAATACAAATGTTTCAGAGGAAATAAACTTTCCTAAGGTTTAGTTCTGGACAAGTAATCCATTAAAATATTTACCTGGTTGTGAAGATGGCCTGAGCATTGGTTCTTTTAATCACTCAAGCAACTTCCTAAAGCGACTGTAGAACTAACCTCATACTGGAAATCTTCCAAAATAATCCTGTTAGTAAGAAGTTTATTATATCTTAAAATAAGCTGCATGGATACATTGTATAAATATTGAAAGACATATACCATTTATATTGAGACAATGGCAGTCCTTTATTAGTTAAATTGAACATACCTATAATTTATTATAACAGCAAATTTTGTTCCTTATTAATGTTTTTGTCAACAGTAGCTTAATTATGCTGGTAGTTTTTAGAACTCTGTATTGTTTTGATATGTGATTGTGAACATGTACTTAGAATGATTTCCCCCCCCCCAAAAAAAGGTTGATCCCAGATAATAGTTTACTGAGTATCCAAGGTATTTGAATTAAGATACTTTTTAAAGTTTTACATTCATCATAATCCACTGCAACCCCTTATGTCACATAGCTGGGAAAAAATAGGACTTTTTGTCTCCACAGCTTGATTTCACCAGAGTATTTTGTTTAACTCCCCCCCCCCCCCCGCCGCTATTTATAATACACAGCTGTAATCATTTTTATCAGGAAAATCTTTGATCTATTGTGATCTCTCATGTTAGAAGGCAAATATTGTGACTTGGGGATGGGAGGGGAAAAATTACCTTTTTAATGAATCTTTCTTTACAGATGTTGATCAGACGAGCATTGAGAAAATTTTGGTACACCAAAACTTTCTAATAAGTGAATATGGATGTTCCTGTCCTTCCTCTGGGTTTTATAGGAGTTGCCTTCCTTCCAGAATGCTTTGAGCACAGTAGCTTTTTCTTTTATTATAACATAGTTAGTAGAACTATACAAGCTCTTCTAGGATGGTTTGTGAGTCAGATATACCTAAAGTCAGCTGCTATGTCAGATTCTTACAAGAATATGATGAAGCAATCTAATAATATATATTTGTAACCTTTGTTGTAATAAGCTTGATTTTGAAGTTTCAGGTCAGCCTGTTATCATCCACTTCAGGTTTATTCCTAAAAAGTGATTTTTGCTCGAAGTTGTTTTAGCTAGATGAAAAAAACTTGATTTTCTATAGAACCTTTCATGTTTAATGTACCATTAACCCATGGCCTAGATCAGGGGTCGGCAACCTTTCAGAAGTGGTGTGCTGAGTCTTCATTTATTCACTCTAATTTAAGGTTTTGCGTGCCAGTAATACATTTAAACATTTCTAGAAGGTCTCTTTCTATAAGTCTATAATATATAACTAAAATATTGTTGTATATAAATTAAACAAGGTTTTTAAAATGTTTAAGAAGCTTCATTTAAAATTAAATTAAAATGCAGAGCCCCCCCGAACCAGAGGCCAGGACCCGGGCAGTGTGAGTGCCAAGGAAAATCAGCTCATGTGCCGCCTTTGGCACATGTGCCATAGGTTGCCTACCCCTGGCCTAGATACTGCTAGCGATTGTGCTGGAGTCTGGAGTCTATAAACAGTTTTAGAAGTGTGTGAATATTGGTCTTTACTTGCTCTCTCTAAGGAATGCTGTCTGAACTTTCACTTACAGATGTAGAACCACCTGAGAAGAGACATGGGTTCAGTAGCTCATTCAGAACTTTTTTTAGTATACCATACAAATAAGACTTATAGATTCATAACTTACTGTTTCTTCAACTAGGACAATATGAACTTCCAGCCAACCCAGTCATTTGTCTAATCTTTTTTTCCATCTCTCAGAGGGTGGGAGGGTAGATTAACTTCCAAGAAGTAGATGAAAGAAAAGTAGTAGATCTAACTCTTCAGAATATAATCGTGACATTGCCGGTGTACTCATTAGATACAAACAATTGGACGGTATCACCCATGTTTTAAAGTAAACTGTTCTGCATTCATATTTGCAACAAGGCTTACCATCCTTCAGGTTGCTTGTCTCTCTCCATGTTTACATTGGTTTATGCCAGCCCCTTTTTGGTACTATGTGGATGGAGTTTGTAACCACAAACCATTATGTTACTCTTGACTCAGCCTTCTCAGAAGTCAGAATGAAGTGCTTACCCCCAATGTAATAGGCTCCAAATCTCAGTTTTTTTAAAGAGAAACTAATTTTTCTGGCAATACAGAAAATATAAACTGATTTTAAGAAGCATTAAATAAAATTTAGTTAGGCAAAACTATGCTGTTTTAGAAGATCACTACAGAAAATTGCCTGTAAACAAGCCCTCCCCCCTCTTTATTAGGAAGGTAATGAGAAACCCTACATATGTGATGCAAGCCCTCTTAGTGACAACACAGTCTACGTCCTCAGGAAATTTTATGAATTCCAGCATTTCTCAAGAAATTTAATTATTTCTAGCAACAGAGGGTCCTGTGGCACCTTTAAGACTAACAGAAGTATTGGGAGCATAAGCTTTCGTGGGTAAGAACCTCACTTCTTTAGATGCAAGTCTTGCAT